CCATCCTTGTCCCATGTAACCTCATAATCAGCTCTTAGTCGAGAACCTTGCTGCTTAACACATGCATGTCAGTTTTCCACAAGAATATAAATTCATTAATCATTAAATACACTGTATTTTGATAGCTAGTAGCCCTAATATACATTCATCAATATCACTGTATCATTCTGGAGGAAACTAATGAATAGATGCAAACTCATAAAAATAAGAATTTATACATCAAAAAGATTACTAAATTTCAATTTAACAAAGAAAAGGATGACTGAATGAAAGGCCCACAGATAGTCTAAGAGGAGCAAGGATAAATTTGTGCTATGCTCTGTCAGGCACAGCAAACCAAATAGCAACAATGAATGTATGAAAATCCAAAGTAGAAAACAACCCACCTTCTAAATGCTTCAGCCGAGCTTCTAATTGTAGGTTACATATTACCCACCACTATTAAAGATCCAAATGCTTAGCCAGAAAGCTTATTATCGATTCCACAACATATCTTTCATCTAATGAGGAATTAATATTGGAAGTTACAAAGATATGGTCACCAATGCTCCTTCAAAATCTGTATTGACAATCACCTGAGTGGAAATAAATGAAGGGTGCCAATGATGCAAAGAAATTTCTTTGCTATATGTTTGATTGAAAAAATTTATTCATTATGTTAACAGATGAAATAACATGCTATGAACAAGCCAGGTTTCCACATTTCACACTTACACAACAAAGCAGGTCTACAAAACCACAGTTACGGTAACTGATTAACAATTCAAATAACAGCACTAAGACAAAACTCACACCCTACCTTTTGCAACGAGCGCCCACATAACACTTTAAGAGTATTGTAGAAATCTCTGTATCTCTCAAACTGAACGACAATCTTACAATGGAGTCCAGGCACCAGGTCCACATCCTCCTTGTGTGCATTTTTACCTAGATTATCGTCCTCAGCAACATTAAGATTCCTATTGAGAATGAATTAAACCAGCACAACAAGGATTATGGAAACTCAAGTCATTGTTTTAGCATCAATAAGAACTGACATAATCAATAGCTAGAAAGGCTACAGAACATGCAATAAATTTATGATATGGTAAGTAGACCATGGGGGTGGGGGAAGATCGAGGAACTTAGAAAGAAAGGGGAAAAAAATAGAGCATCCACAGAAGAGCATGAATTATCCAACCTTAGCAAGGTCTATAACATCTCACAGAAGTTGCTACGGATAAAAATGACAGTTGCTAAAATTTTCATTTACAATCTCTGTCAAAGATATCGAAACCTTTTCTTTTCCTTATTGAATGGATATCTGAATTTTTCATTTAAAAAAGTGATCGTATAACCACCATATTCTGTAACCTACCTCCATGCTAACACCATGTGGGTTCTTATCAATAACCCATCCACAATTCAGAAACAATATTGAGAGCAGAATAGAATCTTAAATGATCTGTGTTCTCCTAGCAATTTTTCAATACAATTTCATAACAACCAAAACCAAAATCAAGGAAAACCTTCTAACCAGATTTTCAAATTCAGCTGAAAACTCCAAGTTCTCAACTTTTTCGCCTACTTCAAATTCCAATGTCAAAGCACCAGCCAATTCAACAAATTAAACAGTAAAAACTTTAACTTCACCAATATACTTTGTCAAATAATCAGAATCCAAACACAAAAAATGCATACAAGACTTCCAAAAGTTCACCACTTTCATATCATAACATACCAACCTCGCCCATTATAGGCATTGCTCAGAAATCGCAAGTAAATAAAAAGAAAAACGAAAAGAAAGAAATCCATATTAGGATCAGAAAATGTTTAACAAGACCACACCTTATCTTCCCAAAGGTCGAAAAAATGGTATGGGTAACCAACATGGAAGGCTTTGACGACACTCTCGGCTCTGCAAACCACCTCGAAGGAACGCCTCTCATTATAAGTGTATCAGGCTCTTGCCTCCCTCCTCTTGAATATCCTACAACGAAACAAATACAGTTTTCACTTTGAAGATTGAAGGCATCCAAAGAATCTAGAATTTTCAGAATCAGAAAGCGAATACAAAAGTCCAAAAGAAAAAAATAAAACCATGATTGCCAAAAGCATAAAACTCCTCCCATTCTTTCCTCATACTCTCGAAATCATCATGTACAGGAACAGCCACATTCAGTCTGTACTTCACTCCCTCGAGATTAAGCTCGATGCCATCTATTTTCTCAACAACGTATCTTCTCCAATCAAAAAACTTCTTCTCCAAAACCTTAATATCATCACTATTACTATCACCATTCTCTCCGCTCTTCTTCTCTGTGCCACCGAGAAACCCTAGGTCCCGTATGTAGAGAGTCCCGTGCGCAACGGGGTCCTCACGCTTGCGCTTCTTGAGGTCCTTGACCCGTCTGATTTCGAGGTCCTCCTCTGGAACGATGACAGGGACAGAGAGAGAAGTCTTGAGGAAATTAATGAGAGCTCGTTTTAACTGCCACTCGTCGATGGGCTTCGAAACAGAGGAGACCGAGGGGTAGATCGTGAGAATCAGCTTCACGCGCGGAACCAGTGCAAGCCCGCCTTCGATTTCTAGGGTTTCCGTTGGAGGCAAAGTCTCTAACGGTCGCATTCTTGTCCTCGTCTCCTCTTCCAAATTCGATGCTCTGCTCGCGCTTTTTCTTGCTTCAGTAGTTCAGTTGATTCCGATTTTTCTCGTTAGGGTTTGAAATTTGGCGAGTCAGGACAAAGACCAATTATCGGTGAGACGGCGTCGTTTAAAACTCCATTAAAACGCAGCGTTTGGTTCGAGCAGCCTCTAACTTAAAAGACAAAAATATATTGATTAATGACGTACTTATCTGTAATCTATCACTTTTATAAAATTATCGTGAATAATAACTAGGCTTATTGAGCGTAATCTATAAATAGCGACAAGGGGTTGAAAGTCAAACGAGAAAGAGGAAGAAGAACAGGACATTATTGAGATCGCACAGATAGCCGAATGGGGTGCTTCGCTTGCTTCGACGGAGGAGCCAAACAACAGAGAAAGGAAGAAGAGAGAATAGCCTCAGCAGAAGCTCGAGCCAAGGCTGCAGATGCCGCACAGAGACGGTATTCTCTCTTTCCTTCTTGCTTCTCCTCTTATAATCCAATCGTTTGCTGTTTAATTTCTTCAAATCACCGTCATAGGCATCGGATTTCAGTTTTTTAGAGTTGTAGTTGTGAATTGATGAAGTAGAGATTTATTAGCCTCGCATTTCGATTTGTTGAATAACTTGATGATTTGTTTAATTGAAATTGAACAAAATTGATGTTTTCTGGGTTTTGCGTTAGGAGGCGTTGATTTTGCCCAAATATATAATGCGGAATATTGGATTCTCTTTTGGATTGATCGAGAACGCGTGAAATCCAGTATCTGTGTTACTTATTCCATAAATCTGAATTACGTAAATGTTAAAGTTAAAGGCATATGCTGTAAACCAAAAAACTCTTCGAGAGTAATTTAATTTTGTGGATTTCTTGAGGACGAACTTGTGATGTTCGTTTATTTTTAAAGCCAAATCTCTAGTTATAAGCTATCAGAAGCATGGAGTATGTATAATATTATTTATTATCAAACTTATTTGTTACTTGAGGAAACAAACATGTGGGAAACACAATTCGGATACTTGTATACGGGGGTCTTTATTTTATTGCTTTTGCAGGCAAGAAGAATTTGAAAAATCTGCTGCAGGAAGGGCTGCCCGTGCCCAACTACAGGGGATGGCAAAGCAATCTACAAATGCTAACAAAGGAGAACCAGTTCTAAAGGTTTTTTGCACTGGAAATACTAATTTTTTCCCCTGTGGGATGGTCTTGTTGAATTAGATCTTGTTGCTCCTTATCCAGTGTCATGATGGTCTTTCATGAATTGCCTATATACTTTTCTTTGTTTTTCCTTTGTGGGGAATTTCTAGATCTATTGATGAATCAAATCAATTTCTACGCAAGCTTTTACTTAGACTGCTGCAAGTTTGATCCTTTTGTTGATTGTTGCTGTGGATGCAGTGGCGGATGAGCTGAGATTAACCTTTCCTCGTATGATTAACCATGACTGATCACTGTAAGCCAATGAATCCTATCCCTATTTACTTCCAAGGGATTATTTTTATGGGAAATATGTTAAGATGTGTAGTCTTTTCTCTAGTTGGAAACTAAAATAAAGAAAACTAAGGGTAACAGGAAGAAGTCAGAATTTTTCCCAAACGTGCTACTGATGTAGAATTTGAGGCTTCCAAATTCTCTCATTGAAACTCTCAAGTCCTCACTGACCAGGAATCACGCCTATTTCTTTCTTTATTTAGAAGAAAAAGATCAAACTTCTTCAGCCTCCAGGTCCTGAAGTCGCACCAAAAAGAAATGCCTCTTCACCCAAAAAATTTGTAATGATGCTGTTAAGGTACTAAATTAGGTTATTGACATAGATTATTACTTTTCCCAAGGTACTATCCATGCGAATTTTAGACTGTTACACTAGAGTCGTAGACATAATGAAGAACAGAATTAAGCTCTTGAACACATGTAGTTAACAAAAGAATAATTCTAAATCCACAAACAATGATAGATCGGTGGATAAATATGCAACACTAACAGGAATTATTAAGAAGTATTGATAGTTCAACAAATAACTTCCTTTACCTGTTATCTTTCTTAATGCAGAATCAAGATTGGTTCATATTCTGTGCATTACCTCAGAGCAGATGCAGCATTTGGTTGAAGTTTACAACATTTTCAATAATGGTGTATGGATTATATGGAGTATAGAAAATAAAGCTGTAAATTGTTGTCCTTAATGAGTTATGTCTATGCTTATTCTGCAGAATCCCGGACAGCCTTATTATCCCCTCTATTTGTGATCTCTTAGCAGCAAGTAGTGATTTCTCTTTTTTTTTTTTTTTCTCTTTAAATATTTAGTTTCTTTCATGTTACAGACAATTGTAAAATGTTTATATATGAGAAAGCTCATTTATGGGATACATTCTCTTTATTGGGAAATTCCACTGGCATTGATATCGAACAACCATGGCTAGTAACTCCAAGATTCAGTATGTTTATAGATTGAGTTTGTATTCCGGACCTCTATGAGATGAAGGTCTCATATTTCGATCTCGCCAGTCGCAACCCCTTTTTATTTGTTTGTTCATATTCTATTTAAAGACTTGAAATCCTCTCATGATAAAGCTTTAACCTGAGATGGTTTTGGTGTTTAGTTTAGGTCTTGTTGGTAACGGGTGCTACTATGGTGTGTTGGATACATTGATTTCTCGTAAAAATTTTGAACTTATTATAATAATTTAATAATTTTACATTGTAATTATTTAATATTGTATAATAATTAGATAATTACACGATATGACATTACTACTGTACAAAAAACACTGCAATATTTCCGGGTTAGTCTTTGTTGTTTTTTTTTTTTCCTTTTTTTTATAATTTAAAAGGTCCTTCTGTGGCCAATTGTTTGTAATCAGCAAAGTTACACAGAAGGGTCTTTGTGCTGATAAGACTTACTGGCCTTGCAGTACCTTTTTCCTTAAGGAAGCAAGTAATGTAGTAAGTGATTAACAGCCTTTCATATAAACTGATTGTACTGAGCCCCTGCGTCTCAAGCCCTAGTTTTTAAAAAGTTCTTACCAGCGAAAATAGTCAACATTACTTACCTTGGTTAAAAAAAAAAACTGATAGCTGAAAAGCCGAGATTTAATTTCAAACACTTTCATGGGTTTAATTTAAACAGCTTAAAGATGTCACCTCTTTTCATTTTGTTGTTCTAATTACGGGAACACCAAAAAATATTAATAAGCTACTCCATGAACAAAAATGGGTTGAAACGTTCAATTAAATTTGATTGGCTTATTTTAGATTATAACTTTAACACATACTCCTCCGTAATTTAACATTTTGTTGTAATAACAACTTAGATCCAAAAAGTTGGACATACTCCTAATATATCATGACTATATCCGAATGAAAAAAAAATATTTTATTATAGTTAAATTTTTTTAAAATGGCCATTATGAAATTAAAACCGTATTTAACTTTTTTTTGTTCTCAAATAACAATAATAATAATAACAACAACGATCAAAATCTTAGTTCATGAATTTCATTAATCAACTCAAATTTCAATCACATTATTAGTATAAATTTAATGTTTTATCAACATATATCTAAAAATTTTGTTGATCTCTAAAAATTTAGAGTGAACTAATCAAATTCATGATATCTTCCAACCTTCTATATTACCAGAGTCCCTAAAAACTTTTCATATTCATTATGACCTAAAGGATATGGTGATGCATTTCCAAGGATAAAACAAAATCTCCATTTGAATCAATTAAGCCTGCAGCCTGAAACTCCATTTTCATATTGACAAGAGGAATTCAAGGCTACAGTCTGGTGTTTATGTACACAGATCAAATGGAAATAAGCAATTACTAATTGCATTAAAGATGATAAATGTTGCCTGCTTTTACCTAATTGTAAAACTCATCACAAGAAGCTTTGCACTGGAGCTGATAGCTTGAGCTCATGTGCAGCCTGAAAAAAGTCTGATGCCTGATCCAATATGCCTTCCATTTTTGCAATCAATCCAAGACTCATCCATGCATCGTGGTTTGTTGGCTCCAAGTGCAAGGCATTCATTAGAAAGCTCCGTGCAATCGGGAGTGACTGACCACCAAGCTTAATCAATACCTCAGCAGTTGAAACAATACTAGGTACATACTCAGGTTGTATGGACAATGAGATAGAGAAGGAAACCAGAGCCTCTTTGTGTAATGATTGAGCCTCAAATAGAATACCTGCGAGTATGCCGTGAAAATTGAGGATATTAGAAACCAGAGCTTTGTAGCTTAGTTGGCATTATGTCTAACGTACTCCTTGTGCATTTGGATATGGAAGAATCGTTTTTGTACACCGGATATGCATTAGTACAACATTATTTTTCATTATTGTTAGACACAAACATATACTTGAATGTTACTGGTCATTTCAGCTTCTCTTCCAGCAAAGATGAAAGGAAATTGCGTGTTACACAGAATAATTTTGCATGTATAGATGGGTTCAACTTAATCCTTATGCATAGTGCAAAAGAGAAAAACTGAGAAAATTAGAAACATAGACTTCATGTCAACTTCATCACAAGCATCAATGACAGATAGGACTCATACATACCAGCTGCATGCCAACCTCTCGGGGAAAGAATTCAAGTGACTTGGCTTTATTCAGACATAGCTCCGCATCAGGAAATGAACCGAGTTTAGCATAAACACTAGCCAAATCCTGCCAAGCTTCTGTTTCCAAACTCTTATCAAACAAAATCTGCAAATCCAGAAGATAAAAACTCTTAAAGAGGAAAGAAACGAACAGAATAGTAATGCCATTTTCCAGAAGTACATAGTTTGCTTCATATCTGTGAATGTATACTGATACAAACTGCAGATAACAGGATTGCTCACTAATTTCCCAATTTAAACTTGTTATTTCCTATTTCACGTATCCATGAAACTGAAGATGAGAAAATGATAGCAAAGAGAACTATTTTGAAATACACAAGAAGCAAATGCGACCAGTCATTCTACGTTTAGTGGTCATTATCTTTTTTATACAAAATTAATGTAATAATCTTACTATAATATAAGATAAGATCATTCAATGCGTAAAACCTAAATGCATTCTCAGTATGGCTGACCCTCTTGAGACACTATTTCTCCCAAGTCCAAAACAATTGGACCAAATTAATGAAGTCCAACAATTCACTTTCTATTTGAAATTTCATTACTACATTTATTTTTAGTAATTCTGAACTTAGAAGACATAGGGTCACAAAGGCACAAAACCTCTTGGCAAGTGAATACAAACCTCAGAACCAAAGGTCTTCGCTTCAACCGAGTCCTTATCTGGAAGCTCTTTTTGTGATTGAATAAGAGCTAACAAGATTCTGTATGTTTCAATTGCTTGTTTGGGCTGCTCCTGAGCGATCTGGAGTACAGCTTTTAATCTAAGAAGTTCAAATTTATCTCTTCTCCCAGCTTCATCCAATGCAAACTCAACAATTGTTTCAGCATCCTTGAATCGTTGGTCAGCTGAAAGTATAAGTGCTAACAGCTTCCATCCTCTTCCTGAATATCCAGCCACCATTTCAGAGTACCGCATTGTGCTATTCAAAGCCACGTCCAGATTTCTCTGAACTGCGTTTTCCAAACTGAGGTTAAATATAACTTCCGGGTCATCCTTCCCAATTGAAGCAGCACGGTTTAGAGATAGCAACGATTCTTTTTGAAAGATAGCTCTTTCAGAATCTGATATGGAATTCCTTGCCGCATTTCCATAGCAAAGGCCAAGGAATTTATGCGCTTGACCCATAAAATGCTTATTCTGGTTATGAGCCAAATCAATCACCTTACGAGCAAAATTTATTCCATCACGAGAATGCTTCGGGTCTTGGGAAGATAACTTCGCACCTAGCAGTAATGCAGGGACATGAGGTTTGTTTTTTGCTTCAGAACAACCAGAAGCCTTCTTTAATAGGTTCAATGCTACTTCATTCTGACCAGCAGCACCGTAACAAATAGCAAGAAAGTTCCACCTTTCAGCTCGGGTATAAATTCCTGGCATGGCCTGCTCCACGTGATCCGCCAGTAACTCAAACCGGCCAGTGATAGAGAGCGCGTAAGTCAAATGATCCATGATTTCTGCATCCCATTTTATCTCCCCAAATGCCACCTTTTTCATGAGTATCAACAACAAAAGTATTGCTTCCTCTGTACTATCTTTCAAAATTGTAGGACCCAGTACTTGCAAATGAGGAGGAAGACTTGCTTCAACACCCCCATAGAGTAAAGCAGAAGCTAAGTCTCTCTGAACACTTGCCAACCTCTCAGGGTCCAGATTCCATGGCTTGACCAAAGCCCGGCGATATGCAGCAATAGCTTCATCAAGATAACCTGCCCGCATCCATAAATAGGGGAGCAACTCCAGTCCTTTGTGAAACATCTCCTGTAGTTTGCAATTCTCACCAATGCCCTCGGGCATTCCATTGGGTAGAGCTGATTCAACTATGTCCAGGATTATTTTGCATTCTTTTGCAGCCTCTGATTAAGGGAAGATTAATTAGGAGCACTTCTAATTTATAGACAAACCATACATTTACAACAAGCCAAACCAGTTCGTTTTAGTCAGAAAAATCCAGATCATCAATGATCGCATGATGCAATTAGCCCAAGAATTTCACAACACAAAAAGTACAGTGTGAGTTGCAATAATGCTCTTGAGAAGTTTAATGCCCTCAAGAATATATTCTAGTCGCAATGTAAATCATAGATTAGTATGAACAATTACCCAAAAGCTTAAACAGGAAGAAATTACTCGATCTATTATTTGTACATTAACATACCACCTCAAACATAAATCTCTTAAACCAAAAGTATGAATGAAACCCGAGCCACTACCTTGTACCGAAATTCAATTAACAGAGATTTGAAATAGAACTCTTAACTATATACATGCTAAAACATATAGTTGAACTGGTTGTGTAGTCATGGGAAACCGCCTAGTCTATAAACATTAACAGAAAAAAGAGAACCCTCTAAAAAGTGTGATCTAAAAGAGTAGGAGGTAACAGTACCTCTATAATGTCCAAGTTCCTCCATTGATTTTGCTTTAAGCAAGATAGCTTCAAGAAGTAAGCTCACAGAATGTATTGACATTACACTTGGAGGCACAGTATCTCCTTTCAATCGCGGTTTTCGAGGCGGCCGAGTCCTCTCTACAATAGCTTTTGTCATCCTTGAGGTTAAACCTCTAACATCAATGCCCTGAAATACCTGAAGTGCAGCATCAAAATTTCCTCTCTGGTACTCAAGCCTCCCCAACAAAGCCCTCGCTTCCTGAAGAAAAATGCATAAAAGAAAATCAATTTTCACGGAACACAAACAGAATAAAATGAGTAATGAATCATTAAAACAAAACCCACCTCATAGTTTAAGGACAGAGCTTCTTTCAACGTTGATTCTGCTTCGTCGACTTGAACATCCTCAAGCTTTGAGTCCCAGTCGCAGGTCCTCGAGGAAAGACCGCTGGCCGAGAAATCCCGGGTGGCCAGCGACTCCGGCGACTGTGGTGCATCTTCGAACTTGAATTGCTCGCCTGAACAAGCGCACAACATCTTCTCTAAAGGCAAAATAGCGGCAGTGAACTCTGGATCTCTCTACGGTAAAATTCCGACGACCGGTTCAATCCTCAGCTGATTTCTTCTCGTGGATACACCTTAAAATTGATCAAAACAGGTTTAAGTCAAAACCCAAATTCTTATATACGCCACTTTTATACTGTAAAAACGAGCTCCGCCTATTAATGAGCCAACCCGGAAAAGGAAAAATGAATAATCCTACGAACAAAAAGAAGTAACCACCATGGATTCCGTTATGAAACAGTAGTTAGATCGGAAGAAAACACAAAAATGGTGGATCATCAAGCGCCCACTAGCAACCGAACCAGCTAACAGAAGACTAAAAAGAAAAACCCACGGAATTTTTAGGCCATAAGTTTTGAAGACAGTACAAAAGAGTTCCAAAAAGGGACGAACAAGAACAAGGCGAGGGCAGCAACAAAAATAGAAAGGTGAAAAGGGCGACACGAACAAGAGTCAGAACTTTGGGCTTACCAAATGAGAAAAACCAAACCAAGATTCCAGAAAAACGTGATTCACAGTAGCCATTTGCCGCAGCAGCAGCCTCGAAAGCTACTAATCAGAAGAACTCGTTGTTTCTTCTCTGGTTTCGAGTTTTACCAACTCTTCCATTTTGCATTATTGTTTTTTTCCTAAATGTTAAGTCGAAGTTTAGAGTCAAAATCAGTAGAGCAGATCTGGTTCTTCTTGTTTATCAAGCTTTTCCGTGTTTCTCCTTATTCTCTGTTTCTATACAGTGTGTGGATGATAGAGGGAGCAATCAGCAAAGGTGGTGGTGTGGAGAGCAGCCCTTAAGCAGCAGATGCACGTTGCTAAGTTTTTGGATTCTCTGGTTTTCTGGTTTAAAATTTGGTTGTTTGTGTATTTCTTTTTTAGGACACCTAGAAATTTTTATTTTGGGAAATTGACAGTTGATTGCATTATGTGAAATTACGATATTACCCCCTTTCTTATTTGCAATTTTCAATTAGGTCCCGAAATTAGTTGCTAGATTTTAGGAGGTGGAGCAAAGAAAAAAACAAGTGTAAATTACCACAGCTGTTAGAAACTGTTTTGTGAATCAGTTATGAAATCTTACATATTTTTACTGTTTACTTTAATTACACCAAACGAGAGATTTACCATAAAAACAAAAATAAAATATATATCTGCATATTTACATAAATAATGTCAAAAAAATGTTATGTGACGCTTTTTTATTTTGTTGAAATTAAGAAAAAATAAAAATAATATATTAATATTAATTATAATTTATAGATTATATCAAGATAGAATATATATTTATATATATATGTGTGTGTGTGTGTGTGTGTGTGTGTATTCTCATACTTTAATTTGCTTCCCATACAGTGCGATACTTCCACATCATTGCAACCATGTGGAGCACACTTGTACTGGGGGGTGTATGATATAATATGTATATATAAATATATATATGTATATATGAAAATGTTTACCATATTTATCTTAGTTCTAATCAACTTAACTAGTTTTTATTATTTATGATTAATTTTAATCTATTATTTATTATCATTTACTTTTTAATATTATAACATTAATAGAATAATAATAAAAAATAACAAAATTTACTAATTTAAAATATATAATTTATTAAATTTTTGAATATATTATTGTATTATTATAATTGTAATAATCAAATTATGCTTTATTTTATTAAATTATTTTAATTTTTATAAAAAAATATTATTTTGTGATAATTAATTTTTCTTAATTAAATTATTTGTAAAAAATAGAAAATTATTTTGTTATCAAAAATAACTGGAAAAATATTTATATTATCACGTGTGTGTATTAGATGGACCCCACACACTTCTGCCCTGAAGATGTTTTCAAATTCAAAAAATAGATCCCGCACCCAATGTTTGACAAGAGGCAATTACGTTCCTATTTTAAAGTGCCCGGCCATGACCTATTAATATATATTGCACATAATTCTTGGTTAGGTAAAATAAATTGTAAATTAGTACCAATTTATTATTATATATAACATAAATATTCTTATAATATATGAATTTTTATAATATTTTATAATTTGATAATACTAAGTTATTAAGTTATAATATATTTTTTTAAGTTTCTAATGAGACTTTATTGGGAAAAGGAGACAAAGATACCCATGAAATTAGTAAATTAATGAAAAACACATCATGGTAACATGATTATAGGAAACCTTTTTTTGACTAATTATACGTTTTATAGGTAAAATAGGTGGGTTATTTAATGTTTTTAGTTTCGGGTCCATTATAATTAATTAAATAATACATTATTTATTATAATATACGAAGTTTAAGTAAATTATTAATAATATCTGTAAAAATTTTACTTAAAAAGATTATTTTTGAAAATTCCTTTTTCAAAAAAGTTTCAAATATAAATGATTACATTTAGATGATTAATTGAATATCTACTTGCATTTTGAGAAATTTATAATAAAAATTTAATTGAAAAATAACGATTATAATTCAAATATGATATTTGAAAAGTACTTTAGTATATCGTAATAATTAAAACAATTGAGCTCACAACATATTTATTACAATAGATATACCTCATATACGTATACATATATATATATATATATGTTTGAACAACCTTTAGAACACGGCTAATCGCATTCACACGGGCACGGTGCTCGAGAATAATTAGGAAAATGAAAATCCAAATGTTAAGCCACACGGTCAGCGGAATAAATGTTTTTTTTTTTTTTTAGTATATATACCATGTTAATTATGTTTTAAATTCGGGTAAATTAATCTATAAGTCGGACGAATGAGTTAAAGGTTTTTAAATCATAATTGATAATTTTTTTTTACATTATTTAATTTCAATAGAATTTAAAATATTAATTTATGCATAAATTAGTCAAACTATAAATAATATTATACTCCTTATCTTATATCATGTAAGATTTATAAATACAGTAATTTGGTAAAATTATCCTAATAATTATATATAGATACATATACGTCCCAATCAAACAATGTGTCACGCTTAAATATGAAAAGGAGGGACCTGTAGAAGATCTACCGTAAATCCGTAATCATGTTGTTTGGAGGAACAATTATTACACTTACATAATCATTACCTAAAAACTGGTTTTCCAAAAAGTGAATAGTTCCTCATGCACATGCCACTTAACTCTGATTTTTATATATTATAATTGTCTCTCTCTGTGTGTGTGTGTGTGTGTATATTATAATTGTATAATAGATTTATTAAAATTTAATTACTATAATTTTAATATTATATTAATTTAATATTACGAGTTAAATATTATAATTAAATTATTATTAATTTATAAAATAATAAAATTTATAAATAAAATACAATAATTTTTTTTTTTTGTTTGAAAATCATATACTTGTATATTATTTATATATATATTTCTAACGTTGCTGTGTAAACACAAAATAAAAAATTGACGTTATAATAATTGCGTCAGATTTTCAATTTTCACAGCGAATAAAAGAACCAAGCAACTGAGCGAAAACAACAAAACAAGCACGCTCTGATACCAAGCACCAATTTGATTGGTAACTTTAAAAAAAATATAAAAAGCCTTTTACAGAAGGAAAAGCAAATCACATGATGATCATACAAACACACACCCACCCCGATCGAAACAGCACAACGCACACAACCCAGATTCTTCTCCAACATCTGCTGCGAAGCAAAAGCAGTACGAGTGATATGGGCCTTTTTTTTAAAAAAAAAAAAAAAGACTTCCAATCTGACAAATTGAGGTGATCAGACCTCAATCAGTTTCTTCCTTTATAGATAGCCTTTGCCAAGACTCCCACCATTTTCTGTTTGTTCCAAAATTAATTTCCACCAGTTATTATTAATTATTATAATTATTGTTTTACTTCCCATATAATTAATTTCCCAAATTTATTGTATAAAATTATAGATATTTAAAAATTTTATCATTAACCGTTAAATTATTAAATCTTCAATTAATTATAATTATATTGTAGTTGACTTCCACATTGTTTCCCATTGAGGATGGGCACGTCTTTTTTCACACTCATTCCCTTTAAAATTACGTAAGTTTATAAAATATCATATGAATTTAATAATTATATGCACATACACATTTTTAAATGTAATTGCATATATAAATAGAGTAGGGTGAGTATGCCATCATATTTTTTATTAAGGGAAAAATTAAAAATTAAAAATAGTCGTTGAGACACCTACTTACCAATTATCTTGACATACAAACTAATAATATTCATAATATTTGACTTGAATGCTATCCATCATATTTGTAGATTGATTTAATGTTTGAATAGAAAAATCAATCACTTTAGTATTTAAATTATGAGCATAATTTTGATACTTATAAATTTAGAATTATTATTATTATTATTTGGTTAAGAAATGTACTTTTTTCTATTTTGATTATTTGAATTCAGATCACCAAAAATTGGCATTTGATAAGTAAATTTTGAAAGGTATTAAGCTGGTCTAGTGCTACTTTCAAATCGTTTAAGTAGGTAAGAAACTTATCCTTAATGTGTAAAAATTAATTTTAAAATATATTTATAAATAAAATTCCACCAAAAATTTTTATTTATAAACTAATAAAATCAAATTATAAATGCATTTTGATGTTTATAATAAAATTGGTATAAATTATATATTATTATTATAAAATTTATTGAAAATCCTTTTGAATACCTATAATTTATAAAACTAAAACTATAAAAATATAAATTATGATGACTTGACCATTTAATTTCCCATGATAAATTTCCCAATTTGATGGGTCAAATAGGCCCAATAGTTATTAAAAAATGGTACATGACCCGGTCTAATTCAGAAAGTAGGCCTAAGAAATGGGTATTATGACCCGGTCCGATTACAAAGTAGGCCCACCCATCCATTCGAACGTTGTACCAGTTGAAGAAGATAGGGGACTTGGGAAAACATATAAGAAATCAGAGAATCAAAATCCTCCAGTTCCCGTCATCAACTCCGGAGTCAATGTGCTTATCATCGTCGTCGTCGTCGTCGTCATCGATATTTTCAGTTTGAGGTCGTATTGTTACAGTGTATGTCTTCAATAAAAACAAAGAAATAAGTCACCATCAGTTGCGAGTAACAGAGAGAGAGAGAGAGAGAGAGAGAGAGAGAATTTGGAGGCCGAAGATGCGAGGAGAATGTGGAGGGAAATTGGAGGCAGAGAAGCGGGGAAGATCCGCCCAAATTCTTTCGTTAATCGCATTAAATCCGATCGAATTTCCTCTCTTCAGCTCTCCAATCACAAAGAAATCGTTTCTCCTCACAGAGGCTCCGTTAATTCCCTTCAGGTACTTCCGTCTTCGCTTTAGGTTTCATCCTTAGCATGAAACACATGCTTTTGATTGTTGAGATTCTGGTAGTTCAATGCTATCAGCTTGTTTGGCTTGTTGAAGTTAGCGGATCCAGGTGTATGTGTTTTATTGGGAGATTTCGGTTTATATGTTAATTTAGTTTCTAGTATTAGGTGACTGCAGTCTTGTAAGTAAATCTAGTTTCTAGTTTCTAGAATTCAATGCTATCAGGTTGTTTGGCTCGTTGAAGTTAGCGGATCCACGTGTATGTTTATTATTTTGAGATTTCATTTTTTATGTTAATTTAGTTTCTAGTATTAGGTGACTGCACTGTTGTAAGTAAAACTATGTTTGCTACTTGGTAATTGTACTTTGGTCGCAAGGATTAATACTTATTGGCAGATTTCAGTTTATATGCAAAATGATTGATGCATCTGCGAAGCAAATTAGGAATGTTTGTACATATTTAATGGGTATGAATATTCAATTTCCGACTTTGATTGTCTATGCTGTATATTTTTTTGGGCATTTTCCATTAATATAGTCTTGTCTTTTCGGGGAAGAACTTTAGATGCCTGATGTTTTAATCATATAATCAGGTTGATTTAACAGAGGGACGTTATCTGTTGTCCGGTGCATCTGATTCATCAGCTGCTGTTTATGATGTTCAACGGGCCACAGATTATGAAGGCGGTGGCCTTATTGCGAAGCACAAGTGCATATTCAGTGTCGACAAGCAGCATGAACATGGACATAAGTATGCAGTCTCCTCGGCCATATGGTATCCTATTGACACTGGGTTGTTTATCACAGGTTCATATGATCATTACATTAAAGTCTGGGATACTAATACCACACAGGTATATTGTCATGCTCCAGGTTTTTGTTGTCATTCTCCGGGTCTTTGTTGTCATGCTTTTCTTCATCAATATGGTTTTGATGCACCCCTGATTTATTTGTCAAATGTTTTAGGTGGTTATGAATTTCAAAATGCCTGGAAAAGTTCACAGGACGGCCATGTCTCCATTGGCAACATCTCACATGCTAATTGCTGCTGGAACTGAAGATGTTCAAGTGCGCCTTTGTGATATTCATTCAGGGGCATTTTCTCACACACTGTCTGGTCACCGTGGTATGTTGAAAAATTAAAGGCATCATGTTGTTGTATACCATGCCAGAGACAATGAAGCCCATTACGGTCATTTAGGTTTTCTTAGTTGGATCTTCCCAATTTACTTAAGTTTCCTATCGGATTCAGGATTTATGTAATAACCCATCTAGACATGGTAGGCTAAAAATAATCAAGAGGGAGTAATTTGAATCCAAGACTTCAGAAACAGAGGGAGAATTCATGTAAAAGCTCAATTCATCAATTGAAAGAGATTGAAAAGCACATTGGAGAATGGTCCTGTGTCTTGAAAATTTGTAATGAGTTAACTGTGTAGGTACTGTTTGTTTGCAGTGAACTTATTGTCTTGTACAGTTTTTCCTGTTCATAACTGAATCTTTTGCTTTTACTGCAGAATGAAAAAAATATTTTGAATGACCATAATTTTATATTAGAATTATAATTTAATTAAAGTTTTTTTTTTTGTTTTGGATAATGATAATTTACATATTAAAATACTAATTTAATTTATTATTTTAAGCAGCACAGAAAAGTTCTGGTGTTTGATTGTGCTGGTGCATAAATTTACTTAAAAAACGAAGTAGAGAATCTTCCATAACCTCAAACAAATAAAGCTATAGAAAGAATCTTATCAGCCATATAGGGGAAGTATCTCAATGATTATGTCGATTTTACTCTATTTGATTGTCAAGGCATTTAGAAGAAAAATGCTTATCATCTTATGGAACCTAGCTTGTCCTTTGTCCAATGTTCTTTGCTCTCTTTATTAACCCCTCTATTTTCAGCTACTGAGAAACTTTTTTCATTAGTAATACAGTTAAATTAATGGGAGATTGACCTTATTTCGAGATTTAACCTTCTCATCTATGTTTGAGAGATGGATTTCTGGCAAGTGGTTTAAATTAATTACAAATCACTAACAATATTAGCATGAAAAGCTTCGTCTGCAATATGGTCATTTTTATGGAAGTTTGATCTTATTTACAGATTCAGCCTTCTCTCTCTGTCTTCTGAGGAATAGGGTTTCTGGCGAGCAGTTTAAGTTAGTTGCAGTTGTTTTTTTTTTATTTTTTTTAACTATACTGAAGATATAGGTTTTTGGTATCAATTTAGAGCGGTGGTAAAAGCTTTTCATTGTGTCTAGTTGTCCTATTGTGTTGTGTCAGCTATAATGTATAAGAATGTTACAAATAGGAAATTTAAGACAGAAAGTCACATTATTTTGCGATGGCAGATGGCATTATGACTGTGGAATGGTCTACTTCCAGTGAGTGGGTCTTGATAACGGGGGGATGTGATGGTGCAATACGTTTTTGGGACATTAGACGTGCTGGATGTTTTCTTCTTCTGGATCAGTCCCGGTCTCAGCTTGGGAGACGGCCACCTCTTCTAGATCACTCAGTCCAAAACAAGGTTTATTCTCAATGTTTTTTCCTTTCAGTCAACATGGTCCTTTATCTGCACTTGCTCAGCAAAAGGATTCCCACTCTGCACTTGTTTTACCGCATATGGATGCCTAACAATATTCTTAACACATGGCTCCTCTTATTGGTTATTGAATATTTAGCACAAAGGCTTTTATGCACACTACTTTCTGCATTGTAGAACTATATACCGAAATGGTACCTCACCTTCTTCTAATATTGATACTGGGGAAAAACCTTGAGGCCATTAGCTTTCTTGCTATACTATGCGATTGACAATTAGATGCAACCAAATGCATATTGACAAAAACCTCTCTGGTGTATGTGTGAAAACAAACCTTGTCATCAATATATAGGGAGCCGGATATAAACAAGAAAGAAGTTGCATTTATGGTTGCACCTATATGGATTATGGTTTCTGGTCATGTTTCTTAGTATCATATTTATATGATTCTGCATAAATGGATCTGCATTTGAAGGTTCAATTCACTAATTTTCATGTTCTTGAACTGTGTCCTTAATTAAACCACCTCTTTTCTTTTAATTCACATTCAGGTTTCAGTATTAAAGGCCGTGTCAGCAAGTCAAAATTTGCATGCGAAACCTAAACCGCCACATAGGAAATCTGCAAATGGGCATGCTGTGAAAGAATCATATATTGGTCGAATTCCTGCCAAGGGATCTACTCGGCAGAGATTACATCCTGGAATGTTGTCTACTCTGGATAGAGCAACTGCTCATTATGGTGCTGTTACTGGTCTTAAAATAACTGATGACGGGATGTATCTACTAAGTGCAGGTTGAGTTTTCATTGGCTTTATGAAGTTTTTTTTTCAGTATTTAATTTCTAATTCCATTGTTTATTAAAAAAAAAATCTAATTCCATATTCTTAAGTTGAGATTTAATAGTATTTATGCATGGCATGTCAGTGAGCCATAGAGGCAGTGCAGTCACACAGTTATTCCCTCATTCTTATAAATGGCCTCATACTCGTAACACTTATGCATGGCATGAATTTTACACAGTGGTATTACATGAATCACTTGGCATGTCAATTACATGTATACTATGTCCTGATTATAGGATGTTGGAAAGCTATGAGCTATATCCTTTGGTACAGATCCTTGAGCATGGTTTTCTGTTTGTTGTGGGCACAATGCGATCTGGAAGCATGTTCTCACCATTGTCTCAGTTTGTTTTCCTTAGCATATGATAATATAATCTACAATCTATATAAAAATACAGTATCTTGGTTTAGTGCTACCTCATAATTGACATGCTATGTATTACTTAAATCATTTGAATATTTTAAGCAACAACATATGAAGTTATATAGTGCAAAACTATTAGATATATTTATGAAATAATTGGCTATAAGAACTATGTCATGTAACTTCATTCAAAACAGTAGCAGTAGCATTTTCAAATAAATAAATGTATTTTTTAGAAATTTAATTGATTATCTTCAAGTGAACTCCACCCGCATGTGTCTCTTATTTACTTACTAAGGATGCTAGTGTCTTTGTATAGAATTGCGTACAAGAGGATATTGTATCCCTTGTGGCAACTAAATAATGTGTATTTGCAGGAAAATTCACAGTGATAATTGGATAAGAACCGAAATGGATGATGAATATTACAAGTATTAGACCATTTTGTTATGCTTCAACATAACTTATCTGAAATGTGGACCCTGCTGTTTTATCACTTCACCAACTTCTGTAGCCTTGAGCTTTAATGGATAGCTTAGCTTCATTTTTGCATCATCTTTCCTCTCATCATAAAGCCCTCATATGCCACTTCATTAATCATCGTGATGGTCATAGCTCCTGTAATTTACTTTTCTTCAGGACTCTTGACCGGGAATCCTACAATATGATTTGTTTGCTTAATATCCTAGAGCCTTTTAATCTTTCTCCACAATCCAACAGCAGAATTTGTATTTCAGACTCTTCAAGTGTGTACACTTGTAAAGTCTTTCTTCACCAATCTTACCCATAACTCCAGTTGCCACAGTAAAGCACC